ATATATACATACATACATATACATATTCATATATATACATATATATACATATACATATACATATATATATATATATACATATACATACATATACATATATATATAAACATATATACATATACATATATATATATATACATATATATACATATATATACATATATAATAAAATAAACTTCTACTTACTACTTGTACTAATATTACTACTTCGCAGTTTTTCACTTATCGCGGGTCTTCAAAGTACGGGTCCCCAGCGATAAACGAGTGACTACTGTAGTTTTAAAATATTTAGTAGTATTACCCAATTTATAACTACATATATATTGATATAATAACTTCATTAAAATAGAGTATATTTTGTTCATTGCTTATAATCAAAGAGAGATCCATTTAAATTCCAGGTTGTAGAGAACAACAAGATAAATTGAGCTGAGTGGTAGGGACTGATTTTAATAACCGTTATCCTCAGAGAACCACTCCTATGCCAGCCAGGAGTATTTTTATTTATGTATAAAGATCTCACAGTTTGACCTGTTTCACCTGCTGCCTTGTTTTGTTACTAACAGCTGACTAAAAGGTTGAGTACACTTTACACAGTTTACTTTTAATAAGTTGGTGCTAAATGACGATCACTTGTTGTTTTTACAAATTACAGGATGTGGTTCAGAAGAGCAGAGCTGCTGGACCGGTAACATCTCAACACACACTTTTCACATTAAATCATTTCTTTGGACACAATGCTTCAGTCTGCAGTAACATGCTCTCTTCATCGGATACAAATAAAGCACAGCAGTTGTCATGCTAACAGCCCTTTAATGGGCCACATGAATCTAAAGATTGATTGGAAAATGATCACTGGAGCCGAGGAACGTTATGGAACGTCTATGTACCCAGCCACCCCCGTTACATATTAACACACCACATTCACCCTCCTGGAAATAGTCCATTATGAAATAATCCTTGGAGCAGGGCTGTGCGGTCACCTGGAAAGAGTTCTAATCTGCAACCCTCGGACTCGTTTGGAGACTCACCGGGAAGTAGAGGAGCAGAGAGCCAAACAGGATGGTCTCCAGCAGCAGAAGACCAGAAGCTCGGATCCTCTGAAGAGGAAGGAGAAGGAGGAAAAAACATTAAAATTAAATTCAAAGATTCACAGTCCTGTCATCTGTGAAGCCAACATGCTTTAAAATACTCCACTCATCAGATTACACCCTGCTGTCGGGTTACGTTGTGCTCTTTCTGAAGGTCCATGAAAAGTCTAGTAACCTGCACCCACAGTCCAAAACCAAAGAGCTAAACCACGTGTTTTATTTACAAAGATGAGCTTATGAAAAATGAATATAGTGAGTCTGGGTTTGTTACTGATTCAGTTTTTTAGCTCTAAGTAAATTCAACACCTAAACACCAAACTTGTAAAAGTAGAATGAACAAAACAGAGAACAAATATCTTCACAATCATGTGACTTATTTTTAGTATTTATGTATCTATTGATTCATTAGTGCTTATCGCTGAAAGTAAGAGGGTGTGTCTCTTCATTTGTCTGTTTGTTAGCAAAAAATCTCACAAACCACTAATTAGATTTTAATGAAACTCTCAGAAAGTAGTCATTTGATGCACATCTACACACATCTACACTCCAATAATCCAGGTATAAATCCAACAATGTTCAGCCAGGTCATCTGGACGGTTTATGGTTTTGTGCTGAGAATCAGTCAAGGAAACACCAAACAAAACTGATTCTCCATCAACAGCGTAAACCAAAGTGGAAAAAAACAGTTATGTTGGTGCTAAGATGGCCTCTGGAGCACGCCCTCTCCTCTGGTGCCGGCCCTCTCCCTCGTTGTCAGTAATTTCAAACTGCTTCCAAACATCAAAGTCCATGCTCAGTAATCCAGGTATAAATCCAACAATGTTCAGTCAGGTCATCGGACAGTTTCTTTGTGTTGAGGAGTTTCAGACTTTGTGCTGGACTTTGGTGGTTTGAACCATTTTGATATGACTGTCGATGTGGGAGAGGGCGGACACACATTTAATACCTGGAATAAATACTTATATTCTACCACAAAGGGATGATGCTACTTTGTCTTGGGCTTCTTTTTCTCTTGAAAATAGTTCTCTTCTCATCCAAGAAGCTTCCTTGGGTCTTCTCCATCCAATAGTGCATAGGACAGAATTTAAACATGTATTTGAACATAAACATTTTCACATTTTGTATGACCTCCCAAACAAATGTATCATTTGTCACCTTTGACCCCTCACAAAATGGTTTTAAGATGCTGCAGATTTAATGTGATGAAAAATGTTTTTGCATCAAATGTCTCAGCGTTAGGAACAGATTACCACGATGTCTGAATTCCATCTGAGCCAAGAGATGTGACTCACCCGGTTCTGGCGGTGTCGGTAGGCTACCATCATGCTGACCAAGATGAGGAACATAAAGACCCCCTGGAGGGCCAGCACTCCGGCCCTGAGCGGCCGGTCCTCCTGCACCCAGCAAGGGGTGCTGTCCTGGCAGCTCTTACAACCCGGCCAGCATGGGAGACAGATGGGCATGTTCGGGTAACACGTACCACTGCTGTCACTGCTGTTCACAGGGCCTCCGTCTGCAGTGAACCAGATCCATGCATTAACACCACACACATGACGCTAGAAAACAACGTGACAAACCAGTGGCCTCTGTAACCTGCAGCTCTTACATAAGCTTTGGCAACAAACATGCCAAATGATGTCTAATGTTAGCCACTTGTTTCTTCTATTTTGGGGGTTATCACAGATGGTAAGGTATAAAACACTTTATGTGCTCACAGATTTTTCTCCACGTCTACGTTGTGCGTACAGTGCGTTACACAAGTATTCAAACTCTTTGAACTTTTCCATAAACAACCACGAACTTCAAAAGTGTTTTACTACGATCTGATGTTACAAACCGGCGCAGGGTGGAGTGTGAAAATGATTCAGCGCGGCACAGTGGCACAGTTGGTAGAGCTGTTGCCTCTCAGGGAGAAGGTTGCCGGCTCAAATCCCAGCCCGGGACCTTTCTGGGTGGAGTTTGCATGTTCGATTCAGTTTATTTATGTAGCACCAAATCACAACAAAAGTGATCTGAGGCACTGTGCAAAAACATTCACATACATAAAAAGTCAATTAGTAAAGTTCTCTAAGGGTAAGCCAACAGACGGCGCTGAATCTTCATTTCGTCGCAGTCTCCCATCCTGAGCATCATGTTCTCTCTGCGCTGAGTGGGTTTTCTCCAGGTACTCCAGTTTCCTCCCACAGACCAAAAACATGCATGTTAGTCTGATTGTAACTCTAAATTGTTCCTAGGTGAGAGAGAGAGTGAATGGTTGTTTGTCTCATTTGTCTCTATTTGTCTCATTTGTCTCTATTTGTGTCCCTGCAATGGACTGAAGTCCTGTCCAGGGTGTCCCCACCTCTCACAGTGTGACTGCTGAGTGTGGGCACCAGTGACCCCCGTGACCCAAAAACGACGAAGCAAATAAAGATAATGGATGGAAACTAATTCATGTTTTTATTTTTTATTTATTAATTATTATTTGTTGTTACAAATAAAGTTCTGAAAACTGGTGTGTAATTTTAGTCAGCCCCCTTGAGTCAGCACCTTGTAGAACCATCTTCACCTACAGTATACACTGCCTTGAGAAAGTATTCGGTCCCTTGAACTTTTCAACCTTTTGCCACATTTCAGGTTTCAAACATAAAAATATAAAATTTAATTTTCTGTGAAGAATCAACAACAAGTGGGACACAATCGTGAAGTGGAATGAAATTTATTGGATGTGTCAAACATTTTAACAAATAAAAAACTGAAAAGTGGGGCGTGCAATATTATTGGGCCCCCTTGCGTTAATACTTTGTAGCTCCGCCTCTTGCTGCAGTTCCAGCTGCAGTTCCAGCTGCAGTTCCAGCTGCAGTTCCAGCTGCAGTTCCAGCTGCAAGTCTCTTGGGGTTTGTCTCTGTCAGTTTTGAACATGGAGAGACTGAAGTTCTGCCCATTCTTCCTGTAAAACAGCTGGAGCTCAGTGAGGTTGGATGGAGAGCGTTTGTGAACAGCAGTCTTCAGCTCTTTCCACAGATTCTCGATTGGATTCAGGTCTGGACTTTGACTTGGCCATTCCAACACCTGGATACGTTTATTTGTGAACCATTCCATTGTAGATGTGTCTTTATGTTTTGGATCATTGTCTTGTTGGAAGATAAATCTCAGTCCCAGTCTCAGGTCTCTTGCAGACTCAAACAGGTTTTCTTCCAGAATGGTCCTGTATTTGGCCCCATCCATCTTCCATCAATTCTGACCATCTTCCCTGTCCCTGCTGACGAAAAACAGGCCCAAACCATGATGCTGCCACCACCATGTTTGACAGTGGGGATGGTGTGTTCAGGGTGATGAGCTGTGTTGCTTTTAAGCCAAACATATCATTTTGCATCGTGTCCAAACAGTTGGATTTTGGTTTCATGTGACCAGAGCACCTTCTTCCACATGTTTGGTGTCTCCCAGGTGACAAACTTTAAACAACACTTTTTATGGATATCTTTGAGAAATGTCTTTCTTCTTGCCACTCTTCCATAAAGGCCAGATTTGTGCAGTGTACGACTGATTGTTGTCCTATGGACAGACTCTCCCACCTCAGCTGTAGATCTCTGCAGTTCATCCAGAGTGATCATGGGCCTCTTGGCTGCATCTCTGATCAGTCTTCTCCTTGTTCCAGATGAAAGTTTAGAGGGACGGCCGGGTCTTGGTAGATTTGCAGTGGTCTGATACTCCTTCCATTTCAATATGATTGCTTGCACAGTGCTCCTTGGGATGTTTATAGCTTGGGAAATCTTTTTGTATCCAAATCCGGCTTTAAACTTCTCCACAAAAGTATCTCGGACCTGCCTGGTGTGTTCCTTGGTCTTCATGATGCTCTCTGTGCTTTGAACAGAACCCTGAGACTATCACAGATCAGGTGCATTTATACAGAGACTTGATTACACACAGGTGGATTCTATTTATCATCATCAGTCATTTGGGACAACATTGGATCATTCATAGATCCTCACTGAACTTCTGGACTGAGTTTGCTGCTCTGAAAGTAAAGGGGCCAAATAATATTGCACGCCCGACTTTTCAGTTTTTTATTTGTTAAAAAAGTTTGACACATCCAATAAATTTCATTCCACTTCACGATTGTGTCCCACTTGTTGTTGATTCTTCACAAATAATTTAAATTTTATATCTTTATGTTTGAAGCCTGAAATGTGGCAAAAGGTTAAAGTTCAAGGGGCCGAATACTTTTGCAAGGCACTGTAAAAGCATTGTTGAGAATGATCAAATCCCAGAGAAATGGAGAAGTGTGCTGGTGCCCATTTCTAAGAACACAGATGATGAAGAGTTGTAGCAAGTACAGGGGAATAAAACTGATGACACATTGACGCAGATCTGAGAGAGCTTATACTTATACAAGATGTGACTGTGAGCAGAAGATGGTTTCATGTTAAGAAAGAGTAGCACAAACACCATCTTTGCTTTGAGGATGCTGATGAAGTGAATGTGTGGAGTGACAGCTTCAAGGTGGAGGTAGGAGTGCATCAAGGATCAGCTCTGAGCCCCATCTCATTTGCTCTGGTGATGGACCGACTAACAGATGAGGTCAGGCAGAGAGTCCAGGCAGGATGGAGTAGATGGAGAAAAGTTTCAGGAGTGATTTGTGACAAAAATGTGTCAGCAAATGTCAAAGGAAAGATTTACAAGACAGTGGTGAGACTAGTTGTGGTGTTACAGTTCTTTTTCCTGTCTTGACAAAAAAAAAAACAGGAGAAAGACCTGGAAGTGACAGAAATGAAGATGTTGAGGTTCTCCTTAGGAGTGACAAGGATAGATAAGATTAGGAATGAGATCATCAGCACAGGTTGAACAACTGGGAGATAAAGTTAGAGAGGACAGACTGAGATAGTTTGGACATGTCCAGAGGAGGGACAGTGGGTATATTGGTAGAAGGATGATAGAAATGAAGCTGCCAGGAAAAAGACAAAGAGGAGATATATGGATGTAGTTAGAGAGGACATGGAGGTAGATGGAGTGAGGACAGAGGACAGAGGATGCAGAGGACAGAGTGAGATGGAGGAGGACGACTCGCTGTGGCGACCCCTGAAAATGGAGAAGCCCAAAGAATAATGTGGTGGAGGCAAAATTAGCTTTAATGAGATAAAACAGCTACTGAACTTTAAGATTAAATATATTTTCAGTCTTAATTGATACCACTCTTTAAATGGTAAATGGATTGTACTTACATAGCGCCTTTCTATCTGATCAAGACACCCAAAGCTTTATTGACTAATTGAATAGTTCAGTGAGCAGAACTGAAATCTCTGGCATTATTGAATTGGTCTCATGTTGTCTGACTTACCCAAGTCCTCTGGAGGAATGTCAGGGTTGTAGTATCCCTCCTTACAGCGGCAGCAGTACTGACCCAGTCGAAAGCCCCGACCCGAAACTGGCACACACTATAAAAAAGATGAGTTAAAAAAATTCATTGCCTTTCCGGATTTTAACAAATAAAAAACAAAAAGTTTTTTAAAAATATGAAAGTGAAACAGGTGCATGTAACCCTCCCCAAGTCAATACATTGTAGAGAAACCTATTGCAGCAGTTGCAGCTCTCTTTAGATCTAACTCCATGACCATGGGACATCAAAGCACTGGAATTTCCATTATCTTTTACCCGCTTCTTCTATTTTGGATCACGGGGGTATCCGGTGCCCATGTTCAGCAATCACTGTGCAAGGGGCTGGGTACACCCTGGACAGGTTGCAAGTCCATCACAGGGACAGACAAACACCATTCACTCTCTCACTCACACCTAGGGACAATTTAGAGTTACCAATCAGCCTAACATGCATGTTTTTGGTTGGTGGGAGGAAACCTGAGTACCCGGAGAAAACCCATGCATGTATGGAGAGAACATGCAAACTCCACCCAGAAGGGCCCCCGGACCGGGGTTTGAACTGGGACCTGCTCACTGAGAGGCAGCAGCTCTACCAGTTGCACCACCGTGCTGCAGCACTGGAATTTTTCTAAGATATTTTTGGTCTAATCAAAAACTATCTTATGTAGTCTATGCATTTTGGTGCATGACCACCTTTTTGCAAGTTTGCGGTGGTTTCCATCCAGCCATCCATCATCTTTACCCGCTGTTTCCTTTTCGGGTCACGGGGTCACTGGTGCCCATGTCCAGCTATCACTGTGCGAGAGGCGGGGTACATCCTGGACAGGTCTTCAATCCATCACAGAGACCCATGAGACAGACAGCTATTCACTCTCTCACTCACACCTAGGGACAATTTAGAGTTACCAATCAGTCTAACATGCATGTTTCTGGTCTGTGCAAGGAAACCGGAGTACCCGGAGAAAACCCACACAGCACGGAGAGAACATGCAGACTCCACCCAGAAAGGATTTGAATCGGGATTTGAACTAGCAACCTTATTGCTGAGAGGCAACAGTTCTACCAACTGCTCCACGGTGCCACCCTGCTGTGGTTTAAATTTTTAACATCTCTCGTATATCAATTTATACACACTATGACACACCAAAGGAGGTCATAGAAGCCACTGACATGAAGATTTGAAAGCTCCTCACTGCTGGGAGGGTTTCACCCCAAGTCCAGCACCCTAAACTATACACTAGGAGAAAGGAGTAAGGCAGAGGCAGTGGTGGCCTGTCCAATGGGCACTCAAAAAATCATTTGCTCCAGGTATTCCTCTTAACAATGAAAAATGGGGGGGTGTTGCGATAGATGAAGCTTTTGTCCTTGGGTACTTATGTCCCAGGAGAAATTTGATAGTCAGCCTGTCTCCGAGGCCATTGGGAGTCAGATTAGATAAGCTTAATATTTGTTTTTCTTCAGGCAGACAGATTTTTTCTTCAGCCTTTAGTCCATCTGGGCGTTCTGGTTCCAAAAAAGCCTAATTGTGGAATTTAATTTCACTGATCCATGCTATGAGTCTCCTTCAAGGTCGAACCCACCACGCTGACGAGTCCCAGAATCCGCAGGTGGTCTGCGATTCTCAATCGCCTCCACCTTACGGTTAAGCTCGTAGACCAGACGATTTAAAGTTCCCACAGCGAGGACCAGACCTTCACACGGACTCGGAAGCTGTTCCATGGCCAAAACTGCTCCCGCTGTCTTCTTCAAAAGTCGATAAAACAGAGCCCCGCCGATGCCAAAAAGCAGAGTCCCTGCTATCATAAGTCCAAATATGTAAACGTCTTCAACATCTTCTTGAGACAGTACTGTAATGCACATCGATTGCCACACTCCCCACGAATCCATGACGTACCCCACAGCGTGAGTCTCAGCTGGACATGCCGGTTCCCCAGGACCTTGTCGCTTTGATGAAAAAATCTTATCAATAGAGTTAAACGCCCACGATACCAAATCCATAATCTTCTTAATTTATGTTCGGGAGATGAGACCCAGGCGCTTCAGACAGACAGAGAGCAGAGCAGGAAGAAGGAAAGAAACGGGGGAGGAGAAATTGAAGCTGCCACCTCGATCAGAGCCTGGGAGGAGTGAGTGAAATGATGGATCATTAGCACCCTGATGGCTGTTTACTATTCACAGGAGGTTGAGTGATACTAGCAATAACAACATTGTAAGAGGGGGACAGATGAACACGGAGGCCTCCACCCCTGTTTAATGATGGACGGTTACTTTTCACAAAGATGGCCTCCTTTACTCCTCTCTCAAACCATCGTTCCTCTCTATCCAGGATACGAACATCTTCATCCCTGAAAGAGTGACCGCTGGCCTGGAGATGAGTGTAGACCGCAAAGTCCTGGCCTGATGATGTTGATCTTCTGTGAAGATGAAACATTTCTACAATTTTTTTGTTTTGTTTTTTGAATGTCCAGAGGACCACATTTAATTTTTTAGGTGTCAAAAATAGATTGCCAAAAAGTCTGCAGTTTGGGACAGGTCCAGAATGTATGCAAGAGTATGTCTGGAGTTTGTTTGCAACAGTTGCATGCGTGGTCCAGGTCAGCCTTGATCATGGACAGCTTGTCTTTGGACCAGTGCAACCTGTGCACTACTTTGAATATAATTACAGAATGCCTCAGACAGATTGAAGATGAGGAAATGTTTTTAATAATCCTTTTCCAGATTAATAGTTTGATATGAGTTCCTACAAGTCCACTTCCCATTTCAGTTAAAGGGACTCATGGTAAGAACTGAGCAGTGTATAAATTTTGCTGAGGGTCCTCTTGCTATCTGACCTGTACTCCAAAATCTTAGCTACAAAAGGTTTAGGGGATGGGGGTACAAAGGAAAACAATCTGTGTTAGATTGCACAAAATGTCTCAGCTGCAGATATCTAAAAAAAAATGTGACTTGTGAATCTTACACTTCTGTACCAGCTTTTCAAAAGAGGCAAATCTAGATCGCAAAGTGAATGCACTCCCCTCAAGACCCGGGTGTCAAAAGCTGTATCAGTTAATGAGGGAGTAATCATATGATTATTTGACACAGGTGCCAAAAACAGTAATTCTGGAGAGTTAAATGCCCTCCTGAACTGATTCCAAATCTTAACGGCCCAAATCACAATTGGGTGAGAAGTGTAGGTTAATATTGACTGTTTAAAGGGCAGCCAAGAGCAGAATAATGCAGAAAGAGAGATGGATCTAACTGAGGCCCTTTCCAAGGCCACCCAATAGGAGAGGGAGTGTCCTTACCCAACCAGAATCTGACATTAGCTGCCCAATAATAGCGCATAAAGTTAGGAAGTGACATGCCTCCAAGTCTATGGGGCATATGCAGGACCCTCCTGGCAACTAGTTTCCTTTTTGATAAATCCTATAGTTGGCGTTGGCTTGGGTTATCCCTTAGTTTTATGCTGCTATAGGCTTAGATTGCTGGAGGACAGACAGAGCATATATCCTCACTCTGCTGCTGTCTGTGCTAACTCTGTTCTCCGTGTTTATTTGTGTAATTGTTTCTATCATTAACATATTTTTCTTTGTCTTACTTCACATAGAGAGTACACCTGGACCAATTATTCTGTCTGTCTGTGTGTTTTTCCTGTTCTCTCTAACCCAAGTTAATTGAGGTGGATAACTGGCCATCCTGAGCCTGGTTCTGGTTCTAGTAAAGTTTTTTTTTTTTTCTAGTAAAAAAGTTGTTAATTTCCGTTTTCACTAGTGTACTGTTCAGGAAGGAGGATTATGCCAAGGGAATAATTGACTCAATCTGCTGGTTTTTCTCAGATAAACATCTTTTGTACCAATTGATATTTCATAATAAATAAATAATAATGGATAATAATAAATCTGTATGCCTTTTTATAATTGTCTATTGTTGTTGCTTTTGTCCATTGTTTTCATCATTCTTTGTTGAAATCAGGTCTCTCTTCTAAATGAGTCCTCGAGGCTCAATGGGATTAACCTGTCTAAATAAAGGTTGAATGAATGAATGAATGAATGAATGAATGAATGAATGAATAATGTACGCTGCACCATGTGATAGTGTTGCATTATGATTGGATAGAATTGACTGTAATGAGATTTGAATCTAGCATGGTGGCACAACTGGTAGAGCTGCTGCCTCAGCGAGCAGGTCCTTGGCTCAAACCCCGGTCCAGGGGCCTTTCTGTGTGGAGTTTGCATGTTCTCTCCTTGCGTGCTTGGGTTTTCTCCGAGTACTCCAGTTTCCTCCCACAGACCAAAAACATGCATGTTAGGCTGATTGGTAACTCTAAATTGTCTCTAGGTGTGAGTGAGAGAGTGAATGGTTGTTTGTCTCGTTTGTCTCTATGTGGCCCTGTGATGGACTGGAGACCCATCCAGGGTGTACCCCGCCCCTCGCACAGTGATTGCTGGACATGGGCACCAGCGACCCCCGTGACCCCAAAATGGAATAAACGGGTAAAGATAATGGATGGATGGATGGAGATTTGAATCTTGATCTAGTGAAACGCTGAATAAATGTGTTTTTCTAAAAACAGGTCATTGGTTTTAAGACTGCAGATGAATAATTTTACATTTAGCAGTAAAGAATAAAAAAAACATTTTGGCAAAGCAAACTCACTTTTATTGTCACCTAGGTAACTGGGATTGATATGGCTGTTGCTTGATTTTGCATCCAATATAAATTTGAATATTTAAATGAACAGGAAAAAGCAACAAAAAGCTAAGAGCATGAAGCAAAGTAGGATCAACATTAAGGGTGTCCTAGGTTCAAATCACCATGAAATATGACAATGAGCAGCATCATGTTTATCCTGCACTGCGGAGCTAAAAGCACCTGACTGAACTAAGGTTAAAATCAGGGTTACATTATGCTCTCATTCTATTTCTCTCTGATGCTTGCTTCATTTTAGTCAGTCGAGACACAGAGACAAGATGCCCCCCCCCCCCCCCCACACACACACACACACATACACACACACAGTGGCTTGGATTCTCTCTGTGTTAATCTAAGCTAAAAGCTAAATGGATACATAAAGCCT